ATTTTACAATGTTGAATCAAAGCATCCTATGGTAGTATAGATTTCAAATCGTTAAAAATTATGATAAGTAGGGTAAGGTGGGGTCACAATATGTATTGCAAGCGGAAAATCTGGTAAAGAACGGAATGGTCAAAGCTTCTCAGGAGAGCGATGTGGCCCATGGGCCTCTTGTTGTATAAATACATTTAAAATTCCATTTACTTTTACTTTATCTTAGAAAACATTGAATTGCCACGCAGGTAAATAAATAAATATTTATGTCGAAAATAAAAACATAAAATTCCGGAGATGAGAACAAAAAATATCGACAATGCAATGCATAATCCCGGAAATAAAATGCAGCGTTCCTGGACCTATAAAAAACAGCCTGACCAATATTCGACGATGCAGCAGTAGACTAGTAATTTGAATAAAGCTTTGAATTTCATCAGATCAATGGACATGTAAAGTAGTACACTGTGTCCCACCTTGTCAATTTTTTTACAAGTGAAATAAGCAAAAATTTTCTGCCCAAGTCTTCTTGGAGTTGGAAATAAAAAAAAATAATAATCTGTCCTTCATTGGCATAAAATTAACAAATCTTAGACATGTAAAATTTGCCTCTCCCAACCATCAAATAAATGGTTGTTCCTTACATGCTTTGAATTTACTTGGGTTCATCATGCTGATTTATGATACAAGATTCCTTTGACGCATACCCCCACTTTTATATTGAGACTTGTGTTGCACAAGTCATAAATAAAAGCAGGGGTTATAGTCAGAGGAATCTCGGAATTACAATGACAGAACTGATACGGATTGTATGTCATGTTAATATTTTGACTTACCAAGATTTACGTTTCAGTTGATATCAACAGTGATTAAAGGCCTCTCTATCGTATTTCTTTCCCTTTGGAAAAGTGTTTTGAATTTAGAAATGGCACAGTACTTATAATCAGTCATATTTAGGTCCAATATATAGAAAAATATAAAGTACCAAATCACCAACGCTTTCAAAGTTGGTAAAAATGCAAACGATTGGCTTCATCTCCTTTCCTATCATAATTACCTGTTAGAGTTAACAATAGCTAGTCATTCCCGGAATTTCTTACCACCGCCGTAAGAGCAACAAACCTACAAATCCTGTTAATGATTCTAGAAATGATAAGTCCTCAGCGTCTAACAGACAATTTATTCCATTCGTACCAGATTTTTCTGAGACTGTTAACACAGATATCGTACCTGAGGTAAATTCCTAAGCATATTTGTCGAGACGTGAAGTCGATGCGATGTTTGAAAGAAGATTTTCAGCATTTGAAAATAAAATTATCAATCTTCTCTCTGTCAGTACTAAATATTCTTCGGCAAATAAAAATGCCGAATTCAGTGAGCCCCCGTTAAATGTAATGGTCGATGATGATGATACTTGCAGTCATTTAGATACATCGTCCCCAGACAAACGCGGCACATGGCAGAGTGAACGTACTTGCATAAGTTCTAGAAATGTTCCTTATGTACCTGACAATGTAAACATAACAGTTGATGCGCCTCTGCATGGCAATACAGCAGAGGAAGATGAGGAATTAGAATCGGTCCCCAAATCTTGGGAAAGTATGATTCACAATGGGAAAAATATTCTGGGCATTGAAACAAAAGAGCCTTAAAGCTGACATGAACTCTTAAAAGGCATCATTTTTCATCTTTGTACGACTTACTACATTCCTTTACGCCTTTGTCCGCCATATTTCTTCGATTCCGCCATATTTAATCGAACATTTTTGGCCACCTGTACCTGCTATATATAGCCTTTTAGAACTGTTCCACTTGAGTGATTTTCTATCCTGGCTGTCGACATGTGCACATCTCCGATAACATAGTTTTAAGAAGTCCATAAACTGACCATGCAATACATGGTTGAAAAGTAAAAATTCAACAAAAACTTTAACTATACCGAGAATTAAATTATTATTGAATGCATTTGCTGCAATATAGAAAATACACTTACACGGAAAATATTCAAGTAGAGCAAAAATTCCATGCAGATCAGTCGAGAAAACGCGTCAAACGCAGTGATAGAAATATTTACCTGAATACTGCTATCGTTACAGGGATATGCACATGTCGAAAGAATTATCCTATTTTACTTTTATTGAAAAATGCATCTCAGAAATCATGTAATCCATTGCTAACTCAACAGTAAAAAACTGCTTGGACACACATGGTCCATGCCGATCATTTTATTTGGTCAGGGAAAATATCAAAGGTTGAAAGCGCCGTGGGGTTGACTGAAGAAAATGCAAATAATTTTTTTTTTCAAGAATAAACATTACTCTTGTCTGTAAATGGTGTAAATAAAATTTTTGAAAACATGGTTTAACTTCATCAAATTTATAATAAAGCATGCATTATTACGAATAATTCAACTTTTGAAGATATGAAGATATTTTCCTGTGAAAGGGGGGGGGGGCGTAATAAAACATGCATAACACTCTCATAAAAACATTTTAAGAAAAACGCCTGAAACAGATCGGATTTCTTTATGATCAAATATAATCAAATAAATACTGTGTATTGGCTTTATTAGTCTTACATGTGATATAATTTGATTTAAAGTTATTTATAATTTTATGCACAATGAAAGAAAAAGTGAGTAAATTCACATACCCCACGCTCCCACAAAAGTCGAAGTGCTGAAATTCATAGAAAAAATAAAGGAATCGAAATTTCCTTGTAATATGCACATCTATACACATTGTGTCCTAATTATCTGCTTAGTTTGACGAAATTGTATGCACCGATTTATGAGGAATTGTGCTGACAAACTGCTCATCTTTATATTCAAGATATGGCCAAAATCTAAATGTAAAAGTTCGGAAATTTCCGAAAAAATAAAGATTTCGGAATTTCCAGGTGATGTACAAATACAGACACATTGACTCCTATGAATATCAGCATAGTTCAACAAAACTCTGTGCATTAGTTTATAAGACGTTGCGCTGACACCCCCCCCCCCAAAAAAAAAGGCTGACTGATGGGTCCAAAACATTATACCTCACGCAACTTGTTGCGAGGGGTATAATAAACGAGTTTGATTTTGTGGTACAATGATAATGAAAATAGAATTTAATGTGAATTAAATTTCTAGACATAAATAATTAATAATTACTAGAAAAAGCAGATAAAAAGAGAGAGGAAACCCCCCGTGAGAATTCCACATTCTACCTACAATTAGCTTTTTAAAAATTCTCTTGTTTGTTGTCCAGGTTCAGCATTTAAGTGTCAGAACCGGGGGGGGGGGCTTTTTTTTTTTTATATAAATATATATTTATTATAGACATTGAATTTTGCTTCGTAGGTTTCGCCCCCCCCCCCCCCCCCCCCCCGCTTTTCACAGACAAGTCGCAGTTTAAGTTAAAAAAGAGGATAGTGTTGGTGTTTTGAGAAAAAAATTGTTACTGAAGTTCGGATTATTCTGGTTATTTGCTTTTAAGATTTGAAGTAATTAAATAATTGCCGTACATCAAATTACTTGGTTTAGATTTGAGATTAGTCTACAATTATCAGTTATAATTGACAAATGAATTTTGCAAGGCAAACCAACTGCAGACTATGTACATGACTTTGTATATAATGTATATTAGAACTACATGTAGATAAACAATTCACAATTATAGCTTATGAACAGCAGTTATAACCCCCCCCCCCCCCTTTCAGCCGCGCAAATACCAAATAACTTCTCCTTCCACTTGTGATATTTTCCCTGACCAAAATCTGATTAGCACGGACTAGGAGTATCCACGTGCTTGTCTGTACGGAGTAATGACAGTGTGTTTACTATTGAGCTTTTACGGAGTTTATGTCTTTTTTGTGATGCATATTTCAATAAATAGAATTCAGGGTGTATATCACTTGACTTGTGCACATCTTCGAACCGATGCAGTAACCTTTTTACCAGGTATGGGTACGTTTACAGCGTTCGAGGCGTTTTTTCGATATGAACCAATTGCATAGGGGCTGCAAATCAAAGACGTTGGTTTTTTTTGCGCCATTCAAATAATAATAATTTCAAAATTTATTGCAGATTTTACTGCTTTTTATTTCTGCATAAATTGGCGCACTGTAAAAATGCGTACTCTTGCATTTAAATTTCTCACCAAACTTGCATTTTTTTCTTTTGATTCAAATCAATAATTATTCAGAAATATGATTATTATTTTGTTTATTGTGGTTTAGAAATGTCTTGATTTCCTTATGTGATTTCATATATGCTTTACCATCGGAGATGTGCACAAGTCGATACCCAAACCAAAAAATTATTGAACTGTAACGAGCGCATTGGGGTATACATCGTTACAATGAGACAAGGTATCTGAAAGAAATATGGCGGAATACGGCTATCGTTGGTACATGTATGAAACAAGTCGTACATAGATGAAAATGTTGCGTTTTTGAGAATTCATGCCAGCTTTAAGAAATGTCTAGGAAACCTTATCTATCTCTGTCATTCTCTGGCCTGCCGTCAAGTAAAAACAATCTGATTGCCCTAGTTTACCAGCAGATGGTATTAATATATTAAATGCTTGGAAGGAGGCTGAAGAGCCATTGCCAAAAATAGTATCCATCAAAAATCGTCACAAATATCAGTATAGATGGCCAGATGAAGACTTTGACAAGATAGGAAAGAGTCCATATATAGATGCAACAGTTAGTCCTTATATCAGTACCAATAAAGGGTAAAAAAATCATCATGGTCCTAGAGAACTATTTTCATCTGAACGCAAGGCTAACTCAGTTTTGTCATCCATTGATCAAAGTTTAAGTTTCCAACAGAGAGCTGAGTCTCACGCTTCTCTGGTTTTATCAGCCTTGTCAAAAACACTGAAAGGTGAATCTGAAATTTCAGATGAAGTGTTATCTCAGTTATTAAATGGACTGTCAAATGCTATTGTAGACGGTTAGAGCATCATTACGCTGTGTGCTTACTAGACGCAATATTCATATAGATGCTATGAATATTCCAGATTCGGCTGCCGAAAATGAACTCGTAAAATTGTCCTTGGAAGGGGACAAGTTGTTTGCTGGTCAAGTTCAGGAAATACCTCACAAGGCATCAGAGATGATGCGTGATGTACGAGAAACATCTCAAGCCTATGGCATACAAAACAGTGGGCAGAAACGCCCTTTACAGCTGCTCAAAAAGTCAAATCCATGAAGAAATATTTTTCAAGAATTTTTTTTTTAATTATTTTAAAACCGCACGATAAAATTGTTGCGTTTTTCCTCCCCTTTTCAGGTCCGTAGGAATCAAGTTAACATGGGAGGATCAGTGGGCAAAAAGCACATTTTTTACACCCCCCCCCCCTCCCAAAGAGACTTAACTGTTGAGCGGAACCTAACAATCCTTGATTTCTTTTCTTAAGTATTTACAGACAAAATGATTGAGGAGACACAATTGGAAATTGCTTTAATTTAATTGGAATAGAATACATTAGGACACATCTCCCTGTCAACTGAACTGGCCTGGGGCCATAAAACTTTGATAAGCTCGCTTTCCATCTCCCTTTTTTAGCTCACCTGAGCTGAAGGCTCAAGTGAGCTTTCCTGATCAAAATTTGTCCCTCGTCTGTCGTTGTCGTTGTCGTCGTTGTTGTCGTTGTAAACTTTTCACATTTTCAACTTCTCCTCAAGAACCACTGGGCCAATTTTAACCAAACTTGCCACAAAGTATCCATAGGTAATGGGGATTCAAGTTTTTTTCAAATGAAGGGCCACGCCCTTTTCCAAGGGGAGATAATCGTGAATTTGTTAAAAATTAATGGCATTTTTAAAAAATCTTCTTCTCCAGAACTGCTGGGCCAGGAAAGATGAAACTCATGTGAAAGCATCCTCAGGTAGTGTTGATTCAAATTCGTTCAAATCATGACCTGCGGGGCAAGGGTGGGGCCAAAATGGCCGACCCAAGTTTTACATAGGAATATATAGGAAAAATCTTTAAAAATCTTCATCTCCAGAACCACTGGGCTAGGAAAGATCAAACTCATGTGGAAGCATCCTCAGGTAGTGTAGATTCAAGTTTGTTCAAATTATGACCCCCAGGGCAAGGGTGGGGCCAAAATGGCCGACCCAAGTTTTACATAGGAATATATAGGAAAAATCTTTAAAAATCTTCATCTCCAGAACCACTGGGCTAGGAAAGATCAAACTCATGTGGAATCATCCTCAGGTAGTGTAGATTCAAGTTTGTTCAAATCATGACCCCCGGGGCAAGGGTGGGGCCAAAATGGCCGACCCAAGTTTTACATAGGAATATAAAGGAAAAATCTCTAAAAATCTTCTTCTCCAGAACCACTGGGCCAGGAAAATGAAACTCATGTGGAATCATCCTCAGGTAGTGTAGATTCAAATTTGTTCAAATCATGACCCCCGGGGCAAGGATGGGGCCAAAATGGCCTACCCATGTTTTACATAGGAATTTAAAAATTTTATGATTCTGTATTTCTTCATAAACTTTTGTAATTGTTTTTATTTGAAAATTTATTTATAGGCTGCATCCCCCTCCTCTCTTCTTTCTAGCAGTATCATCAAACCCTGGCAAATTCTTGCGTTGAAAAAGGCTATTAAAAGTTAATGAAAGATCCAAAACATCCCCCTCGATAATCATTTATACGCATCTGTAACTACTTGGAGACCTTAAAAACGAAGCCCCTTTAGATCTGCGCAAGCCGTTCGAGCGAAGATCCAGAATTTTTCTGGGGGATGTCTACCAAAGTCAACATAAAATCCAACTCAAAAATTGAGAAGCCAACAAAAAAAGACAAAAACCAAAACAACCAAAAACAAACAAACTAAAACCTAAATTTGCCCAAACGTGAAAATACTATTTCGTGCACCTGGGGGTGGGGGGTAGTGGTTGACCTTTGTCTTCTTATGAATTTTAACTTCCGTTCCCTATGGGTCGTCCAAGGTCACTCTTTACTTTGCTTTGTGTATCATTCCATATCTCTGCACATTCCAGGGGGGGGGGGGTTCCTGACGCTTCCCCTCGACCCCCCTCCCCCTTTAGATCCGCGCACATGCCGTTAATGATTTATATCACACCTTCAAATAAAATAAAATAAAATAAAATTGTATCATATCAAAAAGAAGCCATATCAAAAAAGAAATTGAAATTAAAACATTAATTACAATATTAGAATAAAGAATGAAAACAAGAAAACAATTAAATAATTTATTTCATTTTGAAAAAAGAAGGTTCAATTAATAAAAATTGTGGCACTGATGCCCTTCCATAGTTTCGCATAAAAAGATTCGATAAACAAAATTCGAGAAACATGTAGACTTGACATTTCCAGACTTGTAAGTTGTTATAATTATGTGTTTTACTTAGAGCGCGGAAATGCAAATTTCGGAAAACAGAGTGTACAACATTATACAATTAATTAACCCTCGTGAGGTCAACATGGTGAAATAAGGACCCGAGACCTGGCCCACGAGGTGACCTGTCCTGACCGCGGCCGCGGAGCGGCCGAGGGCAGGCCAGGTCATCGAGGGGGCCAGGTCGAGGGTCCTTGTTTCACCATGTTGAACTCACAAGGGGTAATCAATTGTTTTATTATACCGATATATATTGAAAAGTATGAATTTCTAACCGTTATCAATTCTTTCATTGATCGGGATCGGGATTCGCTACAGTCCGGATAACGAAGTTGTTTACATTGACGTCTGCAAGTCGTGTAAGTTTTTGCATCATGATTTACTGATTAAAACAATATTTAGTTGATAGCAACATAACTTTTTATAGTTAACGATTACTTTTCCTCTACACAGTCAAAATCTAATACAGAATTCAAATTTTAAAGAGCCGCCTCTACATTCTATTGAACTGATATGTTGAAACGATATATTCATAATATTGTAACGATAAAATTTTACCGTATTCTGTATGGTAATCAAAATGCAAAACAGACCATGCAAAATTTAAAAAAAAACATTTTTTTTTTCGAATAATTATTATTTTATGCATTAACTTTACTCAAAAACGAATTTTTGATTAAGCGGTCATTTTTAGCGGTCATTAAAAATAATGACCGGGTCATTATATCCCACGTGCAATGATTCCTAGGTCAGTGTTGCTGTAAACGGTACCATTTGGAGTCATTGTTGTGTTTTAAAGTTTTCTTACCAGCCAATCAAATTCGAGTATTATCAATAGAGGTATAATAAAAAAGATACAATGTACTTGTACACACATAATATAAACTCGATCAGAGTCAACACAATTGTAAGTTCGGAAGTACATACTTTGATTTCTGAATTATCTACTTACATATGTAGACTATGAAACTGATACTGACAAGTTTAAATTTACAAACTTACAAGCCTGGATTTTGAACGCGAGTACCCTCCATAGAAGTTTGTCAGTCTGATCGTCTGTCACAAAAACTTTTACCTTGGTAATATATTTTGAATGAGAAGAGATAGGATTTTCATATTACTTATATCCATAATATGTTACAAGTCCTTTCTACATGCACTTTGATTTTTAACCCCGTGACCTCGAGTTTTACATTTTTTGGAAAACTTTACCCATTACTGTAAATTATTGTTCAAAACTTTTAATTGAGAAAAGATAGGGCTTTCATACTAAACATGTGTATAACCCTTTACATTTTTAAATCTACATTAATCTTTGACCACATGACTTTGGTATTTACGTTTGAACTACTTCAATTCGCCATTTTGATTTTTTTTCTTATATTTTTATGATGGAATTAAGAATAGGGTTTTTATATATAACATGTACAATGCCTGTGACAATATATTTTCACTTAACATGCTATTATTCCTGACCATTGACGTTCATGTTTGACGTAGTTTATAGACAAAATTAGCCTTTGTGATAACTTTTGATTGTCATATGATTGGACCTTTATATTCGACACAAAATGCCTCAAAGACACCAACAGAGAGGGAACAACATTCTTTGAATTTGCTGGGTTACACCAATAAATAATCAGCATTTTATTTTCTCAACAACAAACTGCATATTTCAGTATGTTCAAAAAGTACCATATTCGGATTTGAGGTATTAACTTCGGAATGATACTGCTTAAGTCGTGCCCATTTTCTAGTTTGATAAAGAGCAAAAGAAACTTCAGTGAATTTAAATATTGCCTTTATATAGCATGGGAAACAAAGAAAAATGGTTTTGCACAGTGTATAGATATACTGCGTACATTTTCGCGAAAATAAATCGTCGCAAACTAGTTTACTCCCTCGTCGACCCGAATAAAAGTTGGTTCAAAATGTTTGAAAGAACAGTCTAAAAAATCAAATCGAATTATAAAGAAACTTGATAATATTTTTTTTTCAAACTCTCCAGACTGATTAAAACAATTCCTTTATCATTACCAACAAAACGTTTTACCCAGTCCGGAAGTCAGGAGAAAAGGGGGTTGATTGTTTTTGCAGCTATATATTTAAGGTGGGGGACATATCCACAACCGAAAGTTCCTTGACAAGCAAAATTAAGCTAATTCAGAGAATTTGTGTAGACTATGCGCAGTTTCGGAGATGGGGGTTGGGGGGTGGTCGGATCCCCTTGACTAAATTGGTGGAATTATTAAATGTATACATGTATACTGAAGCAGATAAAATATGCCAATATGGATAGAAAGGTTTGATTGCCTATTTTTTTTATTCTGTGTATAGAAGATTCTTTTTATATGTATAGAAGATTCTTTTACAGGAATATTTATCACACTGTAATGATGATTTTTTTAGTTTGTACAAGGCCGACCTCATACATTTTTCATCTCACATGAATACTATCATTTAGTAAAAAAAGAAAAAAAGTATTTCGAAAAAAATATTTGATCGCCCCGGATGCGAACCCGGACCCACTCACATGTGAAGCGAGAGACATACCTTTGGACCACAGAGCCGCTTTAAAGCAGCGAAAATTATATGCAAAGATGAAGTCACTTACATGTATATATTCACGTTCGATATTGTCAAAATTTCACACAAAGCATGATATCTAAAACAACCTTTATTAAACAGATCTCCTAGATGTAATAAGAATATAAAGTCCATCGAGAACCTGTTTTATACGTAATAACTCTCCTCATGCCCCTGTGCTAAAAAAACGACATGTAATACAATAAATGCCAATAAAAAAACGAAGCGGGACACTTTGAGAGGGGTGAGAGAGGCCCTAGGGAATTGTGGTATCAAATTACATTGAAAAAGCTCAAATTCTTCTTGAAATATCGCCCGGAAATGATAGTCTTTAATACAGAGAGAATGTATAAATTTACGACTTTGAACTGTGACCTTTTGATCTCAAAATTAATAAGAGTCTTTCTTTGGACACAAGGAGTTGATATGTATAATTTATTTCACAGCAAAAGCTCAAAGGGTTCTCAAGATATTGCGCGGAAACGAAAGTCTAATAAAAGACAGAATTTGCGAATTTATGACCTTGAACTTTGACCTTTTGACTTCAAAATCAATAGTTTCCTTCTCTAGTCAACAGGGAGTTGCTATGCAAAATGTCATTACAAAAGCTCAAAGGGTTCTCGAGATATCGTGTGGAAACGAAAGCGTTACCGACAGACAGAAAGACGGACGGACGAACGGACCCAAATTAATACCTCCCACTTTGCAAGCGGGGGAAAATAAAACAAACGGGGCGGGACACTTTGAGAGGTGCGAGAGAGGTCCTATGTAGTTTTGATATAAAATTAAATTGCAAAAGCTCAAAATCTTTTTGAAATATTGCACTGAAATGATAGTTTCATACCGTCAAAATAGATAGATTTAAGAACTTGAACTTTGACCTTTTGACCTCAAAATCAATAGGGGTCTTTCTTCGGCCAAAGGGATTTGTTATGTAAAATTTTATTGCAAAAACATAAAGAGTATCGTGATATCGTGCGAAAACGAGTGTTATAAAAGAGAGAATTTGGGAATTTATGACCTTGACCTTTGACCTTTTGAGGGTTCTTCTTTAGTCCATAGGAAGTTCCTATGCAAAATTTCATTGCAAAAGATTAAATGGTTCTTGAGATATTGTGTGGAAGCGAAAGCGTTACAAACAACAGAAAGACGGACGGATGGACAGACCCGAATTATTATCCCCCATTTTATAAGCTGGGGACAGTAAAGTTCATCAAACGTGAATATTGTTTGGGCACATATACGAGTAGTGGCCCTGTTTTTTATGTTTTATTTATTGTGGCAGCAATATGGGGCCCCTTTGTAGTGAATGCTAAAAGCCTCACGATAAGCTTTTATTTTGGTATAAACGCGTCGGAGAATTGTTAAGTACCTATTGTAAACGCTTACACTGCTCATAATAAAACAAATGCATGCTGTGCATAATAAAAAAAATGTCTAATAAAATAAATACAGATTAACTTAATCAATCTTAATTAGATAATAAAAAATTATTGTTCATACCATGCATACTTGTAAAGTAATTATCGTAAAAATTGATATCTATATAAAGAAAACACAATTATTCTGAGATCAAATTTAACGACTTTTTAAAAATTTATTTCTTAGATGAGTTCTTCACACTGACTGATGACGAGGTTTTCGTGTTATTCTGTTTTCTGTGTTCTGACTCCGGTCCTCCTGACTTCACTGACACAGAGTGGCTGGGCATGCTTAATCAGATACGACATGAAATGTACCTGAACTATAATAAAGTAACACGTGAGGAAGCACAGCAGACTCTGGACAGACTGAAGTCACGTGATTATCTTTGGGAAGATCAGGACAAGATACCGGAGGACATAAAGTATAAGACAATGTGTTGGATTGCATCAATGGATAGTCTTAATATATTATTCAATTACAGTAGTTATGACACAGGCAGTGTGTACCTGAGATCATGGAGATACAACAAAAAACCTGAAGAAAAGTGTTTCTGTGGCCCTGGTTACTTACTGATACGCCGTGTACAGATGAACATACTGACTCACGACACCATGAACGACATGGATATATATGATGATATATACAAGATATGTAAGTGATTAAATTAAGCATTAAACTATTGTCAGTGGGTTAACATAAATTAACCATTTCATGATATGTAGAAATGTTTTTACACGAACATGTGTTATAATATTCAATTGAAATGTTTTTAATAATTTTGGAACGACAGTTATATTCAATTGTAATAGTTTCTTTTAAAAAAAATTAAGCTACTTATTAAAATAAAAAATGACAAACAGTTCTTATAAATGCACAAATTAATCAAAACGATATGTAAGTAAAACATGGAATTATTGTCAGATTTCAGAAAAGCTTCAAATTTAATTGAATTCTGAACATGATTATCTAATCTGTATTAATTAGGCCTTGCCAATAAATTTTTTGTACGTTGGACCCGAGCGCTAGTATGTAAACAGAACAATACAAACTAGTGCTAATTGTAACGGGGACCGTTACAGATGTTCCCCAAACGCTCCCCAACACCCTTTTGGTGCCATATTCCCTGCAACAGCTTCATTAAATAGGACAAAATCTATGCATTTGAGACTTTAACAACGCCAAGTTCATTCAAATTTTAGCATTGCAAGCGTGCGCATGTGAATGCATGTGCATAATGACCATAACATCTTGTCTACACAATCTATATATTTTTTATATACTAAATATTAAAGTTTTTAATCCAAAAGTATTAAAAAATACGCTCATTCAAGTGTATTTTTGATTTATCTCATTTTATGTGCACGCACGTGCATACATGAGCATGGTGACCATGTCTTCTTGTAGAAGTCCTTTACATCTATCTATGTTCTAAATCCCACCCCGTTTGGTTGAAAACTAAGGGAAATATAGCTGTTTAAAGTTTCAGCCAATCAGATTACAGCGAACGTACACGCACGTGTATGCATGTGCATTGTGACCATACCGTCTTGTAGAAGTTCATTATATCTATCTATGTTCCAAAGTCCATCCTGTTTGGTTGAAAACCAAAGGAGTTATAGCTATTTAAAATTTAAGCCAATCAGATTGCAGCACACGTGCATGCACGTGTTTTCATGATAATTGCTATATATCATATTGTAGGATATCTTAATGCATGGCTATGTTCAAAATTTCATAGGATTTCGTCGAAAAACAAGAAAGATATAGAGACTTTAGTTTCAGCCAATCAGAGCGTAGCGCACGTGCATGCGCGTGAGATCTTGCTTTTTTGATCATGTCATCTTGTTTACGCTACTAATATATCCTTACATTATAAATTTCAAAAGATTTCATCAAAAAATAGAAAAGTTACGGCTATGTCCATTATATTGGTCATTTCACGTGTTGCACTTGCGCGCTCTTGCAAGCACGTGCGCGCAAAATGGCATGTTGACAATGTCATCTTATCTACATTTAAATTATGTATATATATTCTAAATATCAAAGCATTACATCAAAAAATGTAAAAGTTACGGCAATTTCAAGTATATTGGTCATTTCACGTGTTGCACGTGCGCGCTCTTGCAAGCACGTGCGTGCAAAATGACCCTCGTTCCGCAAATCTACATAACATGCCTAATTATCCTAAAAAGGTTTCCCCTTAATCGGATGTGTACTTTACAAGATCATTCGCGGACAAAATTTTCCCAAGAAGAAAAATAATAATAATAAGAAACAGAGTAAAAACAATATGTTCCCCAACTTCGTTTGGGGAACATAATAATATTAATTTAGAATCCTCCCACCATGGGAATTCTGTGCTGTTTTCTGTAGGAGTAGTGGCCCTGTTTTTTATGTTTTATTTATTGTGGCAGCAATATGGGGCCCCTTTGTAGTGAATGCTAAAAGCCTCACGATAAGCTTTTATTTTGGTATAAACGCGTCGGAGAATTGTTAAGTACCTATTGTAAACGCTTACACTGCTCATAATAAAACAAATGCATGCTGTGCATAATAAAAAAAATGTCTAATAAAATAAATACAGATTAACTTAATCAATCTTAATTAGATAATAAAAAATTATTGTTCATACCATGCATACTTGTAAAGTAATTATCGTAAAAATTGATATCTATATAAAGAAAACACAATTATTCTGAGATCAAATTTAACGACTTTTTAAAAATTTATTTCTTAGATGAGTTCTTCACACTGACTGATGACGAGGTTTTCGTGTTATTCTGTTTTCTGTGTTCTGACTCCGGTCCTCCTGACTTCACTGACACAGAGTGGCTGGGCATGCTTAATCAGATACGACATGAAATGTACCTGAACTATAATAAAGTAACACGTGAGGAAGCACAGCAGACTCTGGACAGACTGAAGTCACGTGATTATCTTTGGGAAGATCAGGACAAGATACCGGAGGACATAAAGTATAAGACAATGTGTTGGATTGCATCAATGGATAGTCTTAATATATTATTCAATTACAGTAGTTATGACACAGCCAGTGTGTACCTGAGATCATGGAGATACAACAAAAAACCTGAAGAAAAGTGTTTCTGTGGCCCTGGTTACTTACTGATACGCCGTGTACAGATGAACATACTGACTCACGACACCATGAACGACATGGATATATATGATGATATATACAAGATATGTAAGTGATTAAATTAAGCATTAAACTATTGTCAGTGGGTTAACATAAATTAACCATTTCATGATATGTAGAAATGTTTTTACACGAACATGTGTTATAATATTCAATTGAAATGTTTTTAATAATTTTGGAACGACAGTTATATTCAATTGTAATAGTTTCTTTTAAAAAAAATTAAGCTACTTATTAAAATAAAAAATGACAAACAGTTCTTATAAATGCACAAATTAATCAAAACGATATGTAAGTAAAACATGGAATTATTGTCAGATTTCAGAAAAGCTTCAAATTTAATTGAATTCTGAACATGATTATCTAATCTGTATTAATTAGGCCTTGCCAATAAATTTTTTGTACGTTGGACCCGAGCGCTAGTATGTAAACAGAACAATACAAATAATATTAATTTAGAATCCTCCCACCATGGGAATTCTGTGCTGTTTTCTGTACCACCCCCCCCCCCCCTTCATCGTACATCTCTTTATTCTGCAAATTAGAAAAAAATAACATTCTCCGCTGCGCCTTAGTCGTCCCGCCTAAAAATTTTGCTTACAATAAAGTAATATCTTTTTAACCACTAGCCCGCTCCTACTTTTTTTCATCAAATGTCCGACGAACAAGAAATTAAATTGGTGTGGCATTAAATATGGAAAGAGTAATATAACTCTATTTTTTAATGAATAATTCCTCAGATGTTGACAATTTATTTCCTTCTTGAGGCTAGTAAATAGTGACTGATGCTGATATATTTTTGAAAGATGTACATATTAAAGAACTACGAACTCTAACTCTTGATTTCCGCCTACATTTTGCACCCATTAAATTCAATTTTAATAGCAATTTAGCCATTAAATCTTTGTTTAATACAAAGATCAGGTCTATGGTAATTGATTAATCATTTTATTTCCAGCGCTAGACAGTAAATTATCATTAATTCCAGCTCTTGAAAAAAGGGTGGTAGGCGATATTTTCTGGTGAAATCGAACTTTCAAGCATCACCATATTTTGAAATAGTTTTAAATATCATAAAATGTATCTCATATCATTTCTTATGTTTAACGTATATAAATAAAACATGTATGAATAAATATAATACAATTATGAAGTTGTAAATAGCTTTAAAATTTGTGAAAAATCAGCATTTTTTTCGTTTTTTGTCTATAAACATATATTCTCCCCCGTGAAACACAAAAAGTTTTGGCATAAATTTGTTAAATGACAGTCCATATTTCCTGTGAAAAGGAATTTTTGTTTCACGGGGGGGGGGGGGAAAGATGTTTTAAAAATATTTTCCGTTTTCAGTTGATTTCTATAGTAAAAAACACAAGTTTAACCAAAATTATAGAGTTATCTCTCTTTGATATCCCAAATAAGTAACTTTTTATGACAATTCATATAAATATCTATAAAAATTTTGAAAATCATTCGAATATGTTAACTTTTGAGAAGACTTAGAGGTAGGCGGGAGAACAATACTATCGTTCGTAGTTCTTACATGCATTGTAGTTAATAAAACATGAAATGAAAAAAGTGAAGGTAATGAACAATTATTGATCTCTTAAAAATCTAAATATGCTAGAGATATGTTAACGGGGAATAAAGTACAGACGGTGATATGTTAGACATGCCAGGCATTCCTTCTTTTTTAATTTTATTCTTTTTGAAATAACAAATACAACACTGAGATTAGATTGGTCTTAATTTTTAGTGAATGTTTCGAACCAAATCCTGAAGGAGGGTGAAGATAAAAGAAAGGATTTTCTATCGGAACTAAGCAAAGGGGACGATGTACATTACAGAGGAAGATCCCATGACAGTGTAGATCACGTGACGTGGCTCTGGAGATACAGGAGACCTGACATCGTGAGATCCTGTATAGGTCTACATCAACACAATGATATTTACCTCATCGACAACAAAGCTTACAGAAAACCAAGTAAGTACTTGTAGTCATTTAGATACAAAGATTCCCTGAAATAAATAATTTATATGCACCTGTTCATGCTGTTCCTTTGTTCGGTGTATACATGTAGTTTGTTTGTCGGTCATTTTTGTTGATTGATTCTTCGTCAAAAATATTGCTAGTGAAACATTAACACTTTGTTAATTTTTTTAAGTTTATCTCGTCATTACCTCTGCTATATTCTATTTATTGTTCCTTGCAATAGTCATCTACGTATGTTAGATATCTTACCCTGAATTAAAAACAACCTTAACCAAGAAAGGACTTTATAATAGATATTGATGACAGATACCAACCATATATCTAATTATCAGGCGGGGATCCAGAAAATTTTTTCTAGAGGGAGTCCACCTCAGTCAAAAAAAAAATCCATTCCCAAAAATTTCTTGACAAGCAAAAAAAAAAAGAAAAACAAACAAAAAAAAAAGATGTGTTTGTGAAACACATGCCCCCGTATGGCAAAATAGCGAAGGTTAAGCTTTCTCAAATGCAGATCAAATATGTTGGTACCAAAGTAAGGACTTTTCACAAGAAATGCGAAATATAAAATGCTAGCTACACCTATTCCAGGGTTATGACCAAGGTTAACATCTTATATTATAGGACAAACTCAGTTTCAAGGTCAAAGGGTCAAGGTTGTTGGGTTTTAAAGAAAGGCTTTGCCTCAAAAATTATGTATGAGAAGTATGAAAGCGCTGGCCTTTATCGTTTAAAAGTTATGAATAAGGTTAAAGTTTGAAAAAAAAGTAGGTCAAACTCTAAGGTCAAGGTCAAAAGGTCAAATTTCTTGATATCCAATGATAGGTCTTGTCACAAGAATTACACATGTGAAATATGAAAGCTCTCGTCCCTACTGTTCAAAAGTTATGGTCAAGCTAAAAGTTTGTAAAAAGTAAGTCAAAATCCAAGGTCAAGGTCAAAGGGTCAAGATTCTTGATATCCAATGAAAGGTCTTGTCACAAGGATTACACAAGTGAAATATGAAAGATCTAGCCCCTACTGTTCAAAAGTTATGGTCAAGGTTATTGTTCGTAAAAAGTAAGTCTAACTCCAAGGTCAAGGTCAAAGGGTCTTAATTCTTGATATCAAATGAAAGGTCTTGCCACAAGAAATAAATTTTTGAAATATGAATGCCTTAGCCCTAACCCTTTAAAAGTTATCGTCAATATTGTATTTTTAAAGTAGGTCAAACTCCAAGGTCAAGGCCAAAGGGTCAAGGTTCTTGGTATCCAATTAAAGATCTTTCCATTAGAATTATATATGTGAAGTATGAAAGCCGAAGTACTTATTGTTCAAAAGTTATAGCCAAGGGTTAAGTTTTTTCATAGATACAAAAATCTTTAAGGTCAAGGTCAAAAAGTAAAGGATGTTGGTATCCAATGAAAGGACTTTCCACAAAGAATATATATGTGAAATATAAATGTCGTGGTATCTATTATTCAAAAGATATGGCCAAAGTAAAAGTTCAAAATTTTTGTGTTTAAGTGGGTCAGACTCCAAGGTCATGGTCAAAAGGTCAAATTTGGTGGAACCCAAAGAAAGGTCGTGTCACAAGGAATATACATGTGAAATATAAAAGTCACAGCTTCACTAAATCAAAAGTTATGGACAAGGTTAGAGTTTTTGCGGACAAACAGAGAGACAGAGAGACAGACAGACAGACACGACAAAAACTATATGCCCCCGAAACTTCGTTTACGGGGGCATAAAAAACATGAAGTAAAACTCGCCCAAACGTCAAAAGTCAAAAGCCTATTTCAGGGGTAGGGTTGGGGTGGGCGGTTAGTGGGAAGTGGTGACTTCTAATGCCTCAAATCTTTCGCTTATCATACCCATTACACACATATTCATGTTAACCAGGGGGTCTGCGTTTTCCAAGGGGGGTCCATGGTAACTTTTTCTTGTTTTAGTATATACATTTTTGAACCTGGTAAATTCCAGGGGGGTCTCGAACCTCCCGACCCCCCCCCCCCCCCCTTCTAGATCCGCGAATGTAATTATAATTATTTGTGTGACTTCGTTCGCTTCATGATCGGGAGGCCCGGCCGGTTCGATTCTCGATCGCGGCGCCGCGTCATACCTAAGACGTAAACAAAGGTAGTGACTGTTTCTTCGCCAAGCGCTCGGCACTAGAAGTGAAAGTCACGGGTCTTTCGGATATGACCTTAAAAACGTAGGTCCCGTGCCACGGTAGGCGTTGGCACGATAAAGAACCTCACTGCTCAATGGCCCTGAGTGCCGAGTATAGGTCTAAATTTGAAGCCCTTCACCGGCATCGGTGACGTCTCCATATGAGTGAAAAATTCTCAATAGGGACGTTAAACAATATACAATCAATCAATCAATCAACTAGTTAAACACACCGGTTACAGAAATGAACAAGCTAATATTCAGAGATAGTCTGTGCCCCCAACTAAGGAAAAAAGAGAAGCTTGCATGGATGTAGATGTGTTGAAAGGGGGATAAGAATAGCAGACGGGGCCATAGTGGGTAATATAAGATTTCATCGCAAAAGCATGAAAGCTTATAGAGCTATTATAAATTTACGCTCTTGACCTCTGAGCTTCTGACCCCAAATCACTTGACTTCTTTCTGAGGCCATAGGTAGTTGCTGTATAAAATCTCTTTGTAACAGCTCAAATACTTACTGAGATAACGTGCAGAAAAGAAAGTGTTACAAAGAGAAAATGCAGCCGGACGGACCGGACAGACGGACAGCAAACCGAATGTATATTGTAATATCCCTTACATTCTTAAAGCAGAAGATAGAAATGCAAGAGGTATTCTTTCTTGTGGTAAAGGGGAGAGGTTAAAGATCAGAATATATCTCAATATTTTTTAGGTCACCTGAGTAACTCAGGTGACCTATTGCTATCCGTTTTCGTCCGTCGTCGTCCGTCGTGCGTCCTGTGTCGTGTGTTAACATTTGAACATTTTCAGCTTCTTTTCTGAAACCACTGAACTAATTTCAACCAAATTTGGTATACAGCATCTATGGGTGGAGGAGAACAAAAATTTTGAAATTCATGGTCCCCGCCCCCCCCCCCCCGGGGCCTGAGGGGTGGAACCAAAAACACTAAAATTAATGAAATCTTTAAAAATCTTCTTCTTTACTCCTGGACATCAAGCAGGCAAACTGTTGGCATAAATGAATGTAATGGGCATTGAGTCCTCTACCAAAATTGTGAAATTCATGGCCCCAGGGTCAGGGTTTTTAGTGCTAGGGCAGGGCTCTATAGATTATATAGTGAAAATGCATAAATTCTTTGAACATCTTCTTCTCTGCTCCTGGGTTTTAGATAAACTAACTAAGCACATAGTTATGGTGAGCAAGAGTGTCTCTTCCAGATTTGTGAATTTTATGGCACAAGAGTCAGGGGTTCTGGTGTTAGGGCGGGGCTCTATAGATTATATAGTGAAAATGCATTATTTCTTTGAAAATCTTCTTCTCTGCTCCTGGGTTTTAGATAAACTTACTAAGCACATAGTTATGATGAGCATGAGTGCCTTTATCAAAATTGTGAATTTTATGGCCCCAGGGTCAGGGGTTCTGGTGTTAGGGTGGGGCTTTATAGATTATATAGTGAAAATGCATTATTTCTTTGAAAATCTTCCTCTCTGTTCCTTGGTATTAAATACACTTAGTACATATTCATGATGAGCTAGAGTGCCTCTTCCAAAATTTTGAATCTTATGGTCCCAGGGTTAGGGGTTCTGGTGTAAGGGCAGGGCTCTATTGATTATATAGTAAAAATACATTTATTCTTTGAAAATATTTTTCTTTGCTTCTGGGTTTTAAGCCAATGATCCAAGTATATATATTTATATATATTTATGATGACGAAAGGTGCATCTAGCAAAGTGGGTTTTATGCCCCCAGGGTCAAAGGGGGAGGGGGTTACATAGTCTGAAAATAAATTAATGCTTTGAAATCTGCTCTTTGGTATTAATCAACCATTTTATGATAAGATTTGCAAAATTTTGAAATATATATGGCCCTGGGTCAGTGGTTCCTTTTGGGTGAAGTGCACAACTGGTTATAAAGTGGAAGTGCATTTTCTCTTTGTAACTCTGATCTACCTCTAGGTATTAAGTAAATAGAGTAAGCATGCTAAGTTAATAACTATGATAAGCAATGGTGCCTCTTTCAAAATTGTAAATTGTGAATTTCATGGCCTCCAGTTTAAACACGAACCAAATTTAAGTGTTTTAAAGTTGTTACACAATACTCAGGTGACCTATAAGGCCCGTGGGCCTCTTGTTTATATAAGGAAGAATTCTGAAGGTCTTAAAATCCATCATATTTGTACATGTAGTAAAATCGGTTCAGTTTTATTTCTTGTTATTTCGTTCTTTTTCAACCCTTAAATTGATATAGTATTGATCATTTCCATCATTATAATTGAAATTGAATAAATATTTAATTAGGTAAATATTTTATCTGAACTTATCCTGATTTTGATTACTAGTAACTGATTAACTCTGAAGTGTGGAGAATTTTATCATAGATATTGCAAAGACCAAGATTTATTTCCCATAGAGTATGAAGTATATGGAGATTACGAACAGTATTCAAGATCAAAGTCAATAAATTAAATACAAAATAGGAGCAGTGCAAACACGGACATCAAAAACATAACAGGAGGTATCAGGTGCTATAGACCAGTGGTCATCCCTTGCCGACCGGTCACACTCGCCGTGCGTCCTTGTCATGATCGAGAAATACATATGTAAATGGAAAATCCATCGTCAATTCAGTGTACGAGGGGTGATCAAAAAATTCGAGAACTATCTCTTTATCCATGAAACCACATTTCATACCAGAAAAAAAAATTGTACACACAGCTTTATACAGATTCTATAAATAGCGTATGCTGAATAAAGGTTTGCTCCTTGATTGTGATGTCACAATTTGAAAATGACGTCATTATGTAAGTCACTTGTTACAAAAAATGGTTGTCTCCCTCGAACTCGTTCAACAAACGACTGTAGAATTCATGGTATATCTCAGAATTTCCTTTGAAGTAGGGAATAATAATTTGTACAGTTTTTTTTAGATAAATGTTCTCCTATAAATTCAATCAAGGACTGGATAAGTCGTGTTAGTGGAGTAAGGCAGATGGTTAAACATGATACTTGTTTTGTTGCATAGTGAAAGCCCAGGAGTTCGCGTACCTATCAATTATACCGAAATTTTCATTAAATAAAAAAATACGTAATATGTTATTACTATAGGTATTACGTACCTTTTTTATTTACCAATAATTTCGACAAAATTGATAGGTACGCGAACTCCTGTGGTGAAAGCAAGTTTAAAAACAGATGTGTTTTAAAAAAGCAATTTGCTATTAAAGACCTTCAATTTACGCTTTGAAAAATAGTTGAATGTTTCAACAATAGTGTACTTGTTAAATACCAAAGATATCGCTTACTTTGGATTTTTAAACATATTAGATATGATGAAAAAGAAGCTCCAATTCTCTTTCCACCTCAAATATGAAATGTCTCTCCCAAGAGAGAAGATTTGGATTTTGATGGTCGTCATGCTTATTTTTGGAAAGGAAATTCTTATCCACCCATTCTGTTGCCGAGATGTGACCAGTTCCTAGAAAGTTCTTGTATTAAAAAAATTAACTTACGTGGAAAGAAGTACCTTGTATAAAACTCGGAAACAACTTTCAGTTTTTGTGACAGGACGCTACGGAAGGGTCACGGGACCGCCTATATCACGTGATTCGCACATGAGCGGAACGGTGGCAGTTCTGCATTAAAATCGGAGAGGACTAATTTAAAATATATTATCATCCTTCAGAATTATACAGACAATCTGATTGGTTTAGAGCAGGTCACGTGCAGGGAGACAACTCGTGATGTCTCCCTCACGCGCAGGGAGACAACTGTTATCTCCCTTCAGATGACAATGAAATAGCGTAAGCGAGCAAGCAGGGTTATTACTGTGTTGTCGCCGTTTGAATAAAACTACAGTGGTTCAAGCGAGATAACTCATACTTATAAGTACAATGGCTAAATATGCGGGATCGGTAAACAATAAATTCTAAAGATGACCTCAAAGTTGTCTGTTGACGTATTTTGAAAGTATACGGAATCGGAGCAGAATAGAAGAAAAGAGGTTTGGTTATTATTTTCTACTCTAGCTAATTGATAATTGTATATTCTTCAGGATAATAAAACTATTATGAACTGTTTGAAAGGAAGACATCACCAATTATCAGGTCTGAGTAGGGTTGTCACCCTCGGGCGCAAGCGCCCTCGGGTGACAACCCTACTCAGACCTGATAATTGGTGATGTCTCCCTTCTAAACAGTCCATAATTGTATAACAAACACTGAAAGCAAATATTATTTCTTTCATAGAAGTTTTCGATTCATTCGCGAACTTTTTGATCCCCCTCGTATAAGAAATGGACGAGCAATTAATAGGAAAAACGGCAGTCAGCATTTAACTCAATGACAACTTGCGTGAAGATTTATTGATTATGTTTTAAAATGACGTGTTTATGGAAATTCCTATGGGAAATTAAAAAAATGAATTAAAAAAAATCTTAAAAGACATATCAATATCTTGAATTCTTTGATCAGTCAAAGGAGGATAAAGTGCGTTTTACAATGTACTAATGGTCGAAAGCGTAGACTCTCCATTCGCCCCTTTTTTTTCAAGTCAAAACTTTTTACTTTAGTAAATGATTCTTGAAAGTCTGTTTGCGCCCTCCCCCTTACTCTTTTGTTGTGTTATAGAGTAGTAACAGAAAAAGTAGTGAAAAAGGCTACGCTTCAAAAGAAGAAACACCTCAATCCCCCCCCTTTTTTTCACGAAATAGGATTTTCAAGTATTGACATGTTTCCCTTTTTTTACTTGTCAAGCATTTTAAGGTATGAATTTTTTTCTCTTGCTACCCATTTTAAATATAGGTAAATACCACAAATACATACCGGAAGTCAGAAGTCTGCTGTACTGTTTGTTGTTGGTTGATGAATACACCTTGAATACCAGGGAAGATTCCTACAAGAACATGCTTAACAAGCTCAGGGATAAATACTTTAAGGAGGAAGAAATGTCAAATGAAATTAGTACAGCAGATCTCCCAGAAGTAATCATGCAAATAAAAGACAATACAATTACCTTTAAATCAGACGACATCCGACATGACGTCATGTACGCCTTTGTTACGGAGTGCTTGATAACGGACAGTGATCTGGAGTTCTTCCTAAACACAGCATCGGGTCACGTGATTACAGAATACTGCCGGTACTGGTTGTATGAGAGGAGTGAAGGAGAGAGATGTCTGTATATACCGGACAAACCGAATATGTTGGACCCTGTTATAGAAAGGCTACAACTAGACATCATCAAATACTGCTCCATATCAGACAGGACGATTCGTGACAATATCATTAATCGTTGTGAGTATGTTGTTATAGTTAAAGATATTGTTGTTATTCATTAGTATAAATCATGTTATGATACTATGAACATGTAGCCATTGTATTTTAAATATAATATAAAGTTATTGACTGGGTATTAGGACAACATATGATTTGTTGGACCTGAAGGTGAAAATGTTGCCCGCGGCCGCAGGCCAAGATCATTATAGGGTAATGTTAATAATAAAATACACATTTAAACACGCATGAGTTTTTAGCTGCATTTCAAAAATGTGCAGCCTTAAAAAATTGCATTTTCATAATTGTGTGATTTGACTAACGGGTGATTCAAATTCATAATTAATAGTAGGAGTCCCAGTAGAAATACTACAGTGGGATCAGGAGGCAAGAGAGCGATATGTAGAGTACGCTAAGAGAGGGACACAGACAGTCCACCACGCCCGGGGGATGATTGTAGGATGTGCTGGGGCGGGGAAAACCACGATGCTTAAACGTCTGCTTGGTTGTAGTGAAGAAGAGATAAAGAAAATAAAATCTACCGAGGGATTGGAGGTGCATGAGGAAATATTCAAGATTTGTGACAAAACAAACACACTGGAAGGTAAAGAAGACTGCCCCATTGGTATTTACTGGCATGATATAAAATGGTTTTATTTACATATGCACTATAAAACAGATTCGTAGTTGTAGGAAAATATAGTGGTGATATTTAAAAGAATTCGAAAATTTTCCATAATATTGCATAAAAATGGATAATGCCTTCCTAGAAATTAAATTAAATAATTTTGGGCACATGATATTTATATGAAGTGTAAGTGTAAGTATTTATATGAAATGTGAGACAGGTTTTCTTGGTCTTAAAATACATGAATACCATTTTTTTTTTTAGATAAAGCACACTTTCAAAGGGATTCGATTTTCAAGAGAAATTTCGTTTATAGCCTTTTATTATAGATTTCTTGGTGACATATTCAGTGTGTGTGATTAAACAGAGTAATTAATCATGAAATTTAAATTTAGATACTTGGAGCATCTTTGGGAAGGGGGTTTAACGCTATGATCTCTTCCTCTGACATTACAAAAAGCACAAGCCTAAGATAATGATCGATTTGATGACGTGTAATGCATTTGTACAATAAAACAGTTCCTACACAAAGTGTTTGTAAAGTTTACATTACTTTCTCCTACAGTTAATATTTAAAAAAGAGGCATTTGTGAAACAGTGTTGCTCTCTTATGGCAGACTACGGCAAGGCTTTAAGTTTCAAACTCCAAGTTAAATATTATAATAGTTGAAATATTATGATTAAAGTAAACACAGGGGTATAGAGTATCAACGCACATGTATTCGTTAAGCATCAATTTTCGAGGGATTCGTTATTGAGCAGAGCCAAGAAATTAAATGTTCATTGAATTGAGATATGTTATTCATTTGTATAAACAATGTTTTTATCCATGCAATTAAGAATCCCTGTGTTAAAAAATCAAAAAAAAATTAATTGCAACGAAAATTGATGGAATCACGGTACTTGAAAAATTACTTTTTCTCAAAATATTTTGATGACAATATATTACCCATAAAAACTACTTTTAGTAACATGCAATTCATTGATTATCGCAAAGTTTCATTTCCTATGATCAAGGTTGCATGTGTAGACAAGTGTATTAATCGATAATGTATGGAATGAATAATAAAAATATCACTCTACATGATACATATTTAAATTTGCAGCAATCAAATTGAATGTCAATGAGAAGGTTGGGAAAGGAAGTTTCAGCTGGAGTGAAAATACTAAAACGTTGACAATATTTGACTTTGGAGGCCAGTGTGCGTACTACGCCTGTCACCAGATTTACCTGACAAGGAGAGCTTTCTATGTTGTGGTGGTGGACGCCTCTAAACGTCTTGACCAGAAGGTGGATGATGAAGTTTGTGATCAAGATGGTAGCGTCTTCTCTGGTTGGACCTATGGAGGTAACATTGCCTTTAATTAATTAATATTCTACTATTTTGGTGAAGTATAAACAATGGGATTTAATCAAGATCTTGTCTCCAAAGCAGAAACTTATTTTGCCATTTCGAATCCTCTTGACAATTTCTTTACACTATCAATATTATTTAGATTGTTTCCGAATACATTTATAAATATCAGCTTTTGTTATCCTCGATTTGATCAATAGATAATTGACCCTAAACAAAAACATATACCGGTACATGTAAAACTCATGAAATGACATTAAAATGTTTCAAGGAAGGAGAGTTGCTATGATAAGCAGGAAGGAAAGATGTTATGTTTTGTTAATGTTAGATAAATATATAATCCTATATGCCAGTGTCCTGCAGCATCCGAATACACATTGTATGGTTGTTAAAACTGAAAGCCAGGTTATTCATAAACTTTAATCATAACAGTTTAGGGAATCTACAAACAAGGGTACGTACCCAAGGAAGCAGAAAATATTCTTTTTAAAAAATTTGATGCAAATGTGTTGTATTAATTTTCTTAGAAACGATCTTTTTAAGAATGAAAAGAGTTTTTTTTGACATGTGGAAATAAAGACCACAGCATTGTCTCTTAAGATTGTTAAATCAATTAGAATTTGGCCTTTTAAACAGATGAAGGAGAAAGAGGAAAAACAAAGATTTTTTAAAAGATGGCCTCACAGACAGTTTCGAGAAAATCCTAAACTATGCCTGTCATATTTACAATATAATTCCCCTGATGTTTTTTTTATGAAATTGTAAAGATTTTTTTGTTCTTTGTGTATGAACCTCGTCATTTATTAATTATCATTATAATTCATTCAATAATTGTTTCCAACTTGACCCGAATGATTTGTTTATATCGTTACTAAATACTAATGTATTGAAATGCATTTTTCATGTGGTTTCAGGTTCATTTCTTTATAAAGTGTTTAACGAAGGAAATCTAATCAACTTTTATTCAGTATAATGCACCTTTGTATCCTAAGTACACCTGAATTTATTTTCAGATTACTTTGTTTTTTGGTTGAAGTCTATTCACACATACTGTTGTGCCGAGGACGAAAATCAGAATCCGATAGTTCTTACTGTAGCCACCCATTGGGAAAACAGAATTGATGAATATAAGGTTATTTAATTAACTTCCAATTATAAACTATGAAATAGATTAGGATATACATTGTTGCTATAAACGCATAATACTTTGTCTTCGTGTTCTATTTAGCACACCGTTCAAGATTGCTCAGTCGTAAGTGCGCTCGCTCTGTGATCGGGAGGTCGTGAGTTCGTATCTCGGCCGCGACTGTCCTAGTCGATAAAATGGGTAGCACTTTGAAATGAAAGTTGCGGGTCCTTCGGATGGGACCTTTAAAAACGGAGGCCCCGTTTCAGCGGTAGGCGTTGGCACAAAAAGATCTCGAGAGGGACGTTAAACAATATATAATCAATCAATCTATTTAACACCTTTCCGCAGAAAGCAGCTTCCGCTTATTCAGGTTTATAGCAGAATATGTTATGTATTCATAAAAAAAGTATATTCCGAAAGCATTAACTGTAATGTTTCATACTGCGACTACCGCTTGCATTGACCTAATAAAGGTAACCTAATAAACCAAAGGTTTATCCGGTCACTGCCCTAATAAAGCCTCTTGCTTACTTTCGACGCCGGACTACTTTGTTTACTTAGCAAAAAAATGGACGCTGACGCCTTTGACCCCCAATTTTATGTACACAATACTGAAGAGGTGGATCAAATCACTTCAAGCGACACGCATGACGAAGGCTTGCTCCCTCCTGTACCTTCCGTATTAATTCCCATTCTTGATGTTGCTTTTGAAGAAAATTTATTAGATATTATTAGAGAATTGGAAAGAAAGGCGTCTGCAGAAATTTCAGAATCTCATTCTGATAGACCTAAGTCGATCGTAGAAACTGAAGTCCAAGTCAACAATGACCCCCAATTTATTGATTTAAAATTTAACGATTTTGAGACTTTCATAACAAATCAAGAAAAATCAAACTCAATTAAGAAAACTCAAAAAGATGTGAAACTTTTTCGAAAATTCCTCAAAATGAAAACCGAGATTTGCATGAAATTATCTGTGACGAATTTGAGCAGCTTTTAGCAATGTTTGTGTTATCAGAAAGAAAAACTGACGGTCAAGAATACGAACCAAGTTCCCTCAGAACTACTATAAGTAGTTTGGACAGAAAACTAGGACGACAAAAATATGGACATAAAGAATCGACATTCAAGACGATTTCTTTCGTTTGACTCGCGAATCTTTAAAAGCAAAACAAAAAAAATCTGAAAAAAACAATGCAAAGGCAATCAACCAAGCAAAGTTGAGGCAATTTCAGATAAAGAGATTAACATATTGTATGAAAAGAAAATTCATGGAAATGAAAACCCCGAGTTTCTCTTGAATATCCTCTAGTTCAACAACTCTGTTCACTTTGGACTAAGAGGAGTGACCGAGCACTTTAATTTACGTTGGGGGATATTCAACTTAAAGTATCATCAGATGGGACCAAATACTTCGAGTATAATAAACGACAAACAAAAACTGGAAATGGCGACAAAATTGTCGACATACGCCAGATCAAGCCCAAAATGTTTTCTTCCGGGGACACAAGAGATTCTGTTTTATTTTACAAACTTTATTCGGACAAAAAAACCCTAGGGTTTTCTTCAGATGACGACGCCTTCCATCTTTCAAATCATACCATTCCTCTAGATGACCCCAGAAGTGACACAATGGTTCTTAATATAAAAGTTGCGTCCTGCATGAAAGAGATGGCTATAAAAACCAATTTCACAGGAAGAAAATTGACCTACCACAACGCAAGAAAACATCTCATTCAAAAGCTCCGCAAAAAATATCCCAGCGACTGATATAATGCAAATAAGTGGGTATAAAAATGTTCAATCTATCTTGAACTATAGCTCTATAACCGAAAATCAACAAAAGAAATACACATTTTGAGCAGCACTTCGGTCTACCCCTATGAGTACACAAAATCCACAAAACAATTAAACTGAAAATGTCAGTTTTCAAGTGTCGGAAACTTCTTCATCCGGCCATATAAGTTCCATGCTTTTGGGCAACACTTCACATCCAGAATTTAAACATTGACACTGGACATCACTCATAAATTCACAATTATTTAACTTTCCCAACTCTGTATTGTTGCGGTTTTTACACTGTCTTGACTGTTACAAATTTACGTCATTTGTTTATAAAATACTTCTTAATTAAAGCTGTCGAAAATTGCTGATTTGTTAGAATTTTAGATGATATTTTATGAAATAAATTGCATCCCAAATCATGATTTTTAGTTGTGCTATTTCCTAGTTAATTTTTTACAAACTTTGTGGATCTACGTTATTATGCGGAGGGATAACTATTTCACGCTTCAAACTATCGGTGATGCGAGGTCATAATGATAATTTTACCATGCAAAAGAAAACGTACATATAAGTTAATTCGATTTACTTGATTTACGTATTTATTTTTTTTAAGTTGCAGGATAAACGAAATACATGGTAACTGTCTTGAAATATAAGCGATTTTTGGGCTCGGGTCGAAAACGTAAGAGGTCTCGGCAAACCTCGCCCTCTTTCACGTTATTTTACCCTCTCCCAAACACAGCTTAAATTTCAAGACAATAACCATGTATTTTATATTTATAATATTGTAAAAAAAAAATATTTTTATGTTTTATATTGTAATGTTATGTAAAATTAAATACATCTACAGTATTAGGTATGAAATCCTGGTACCAATTCAGAATTCAAATATCCATTAACAAAATGCTTAAAGTTTTATTTTTGTTGTTTATAAAAAAGAAATAAGTACGAATTTGTTAATGAATTCCTGCTGTTTAAAATTTTCACAGACAACGTCAATTAAAAAGAAATTATCTACAGTCATGTGTTAAGCCGTGTATTTTTAAAATGAATTTTTGAAAACGTAAAAAAAAAAAATTAAACCGAAGGCTATATAGTTATACTTAAAATTTGATATTTTGTTTAATGTCTCGTAACCCCTGGTAATAAAAATACAGGTTTAAAAGCAAAATAAGCAGAATAAATTTGTGAAGAAATTTTATTTCTTATTTATAGGACGTAAATGCTTTTATGGATCATCTGCTTAACCAGCTTCCCAAAAATTGTCCTTACCTGCCACAATACATCACAGAGAAAAACTTTTTTGCTATTCAGTTTCATGTCCCTATTGATGATTTAGCAAAACGGATTGCAAGTATTGCAGCCTTTACAAAATGGGAAGAAAAAATATCGAAAGAATGGGCCATATTTGGAATTCATCTACGCCAGAAGAAAGAGAAAAAAATTATTGTAACAAACAAAATCAATGTTTATGATAAGGAAAATAACAAAACTATTAGAATAGAGGATATGCTAAGATTTTATCACGATTCTGGTAAAGTTTTGTATTTTAATGAGCCAGAACTTAACGATTTCGTAATAATTGATGTCCAGTGGTTTGTCGACGCATTTAAAAATATAATCACCGATAAGCTGCATCTTCAAGGTATTACTACACCTGTACACGATTGGGAGGAATATTACAATACTGGGAATTTAAAAGACACACTTCTTACCGATATCTGGAAAGTTTACGAGAGATTTGAGGCAGTACGTCATAAATATATAGTCTTGCATTTTATGAAAAGACTTGGTTTGGTAGCTCTTGGGGAGGGATCTCACTACGTTCCATGCATGAATCGCAAAGAAATGAACCGAGATACTAAGGACATAATCCTGCAGTCAGGAAGCAGATCATCAGTAGTTCTATATCGATTCGAAATTTTGCCTTTCTTCTTCTTTTTCCGCCTTGTCGTTGCATGTATGCAAGAAAAGGGCTGAAAGTCCGCAAAACTAATGAAATTTCGCATTTATACAGAAATGTTGCCTTGTTTGCTTTTGAACTGTACTATGTCATCCTTTCTGTCACTACAGATTCTATACAGCTTCAGGTTCTTCATGCCCAAGGACAGTCACTGGATGTGGAAAAAACGCATCAGATCCAAAGAACCGTAGAAAAACATCTTAATGCTATTACAGGAACTTTTCACAAGAAGTTAATGTTTGTTCGAGGCATTAGATGTCAGGAGGACAAAGCCACTCCATTTGCAATGGAAATTCAAGGCTATTTTTTGGAAGAAAAGGACATACCATCAGAAGATAAAGATCAAATTTGTCCTCTACATCGATTTAAAAACTGCCATGAAATCAACACACATGAATTACAAAAATATTGGGTATTTTAAAGACAGTACGATACGTGATTTGAACGTATCATCGTAGCTTTAAACAACAATAACATTTAGTGAAAAGAAAAAAAAAGGTTTTCATTCAGATAATAATGTATTTTCTATACATTTTTGATCGAAATATAATGAGAGATATGGAATTTATGATACATGTTTATAGATTCTTATATAGTGGAGACTCAGAAAAAGAAATATCCCGTATATCAGTTTTGTGAAGAAAAAAAATATATATATCTGCAAAAAAACTGCTCGTCCAAAATTTGGTCGTGGACGTCATATAAAATTATGAAATTTATAAGATAACAATTCTCAAGTTAACATTGTTTATAATTATAAAAGCATTATGTCATGCTGTGAAATATATATCTACATGTATTCCAAAACTTTAGGAGAAAACAGTAAGGAATCGTTTAATGCCTCTCTATCAGATAAAAGTAAGATATTCATTTTAACCATCTGTAGTATATGGCCAAAACAAAATAATTATCTTTTATAAAACAAATGTAATATATTTGACGACCTTACATTGATGGAAAGATCGAGTTGATCTATACAAATTATAATCAAATTTTAAATTGTGTACTGAATATTGTTCATCATCTATGTAACGAAGAGAAAAAGTCTTAGAATTTCCACAATTGCTGTTTAAACAACACGTTAAGGCTTCCAAAACATGGGTAGGCTTATATTTGATACTTGAAATACTATACAATATTTTCTGTTTTTTTTAGGTCGTGCGCGGTGAATATTGTACTCCTCTGATAACAAAATTATTGTATTGAATAAAAAAAATCAGCAATAAATGTTGTATTATATGATTCACTGATAAGATGATACATATATATTATTATAACAGTAACTAGATCTGAAGGGTCGTATCACGTCGAGTTGACAGGCCTAAAATCCTAAAATATATATTTGCTTATGTTTTATTCACATAAAAAAACATAGTCGTTTAAATAGCTTTTTAAACCCATTTGTATCAATTTGGAATTTCCGATCTTGTTTTAGATCAATGTAGAGGAAATAAATCCTTGTATTGACCTGGAACGTTACTTGCAGGTCAGTACAACGTAGTATTTTTCTAACATACTAGTAGTTGGATTTCATCCAATCAGAGAGATAGATTCATGTTCCAGTATCTGTTTGAATATAAAAAACACGTGGATTACTACAATTACTGGTATTTTAAAATAATTGTTAAGACTTTTGTGCACGTTGTCGTTTTCTCTCATTTTTCAAAATACAGGGTGACCTTAGAGTACCAAGCTTAATTACTGTCAAACGTTTCTTAAAAACAGTGTAAACAACTCCCGATATGATGTCTATCAAATTTGCTATGTGTCTTAAAGTCAATCATACAACATCAAATATTATTTGTTGAAATTTGGCAAACAGTACATGAGTTTTTATAATTTTTGTTGGCAAAGAGGATACCCATTTTTGATACCCATTATATAATTTTTGATCTTTGAAATCAAGCTGCTAATTTGTCTATAAAACAGGTATCGGTTGCTGTAAATGTCACATATTTCAGTGAATATTTCTTTGGGATTTTTAACAAGTTTTACAGCAGCTTTAATGTAGCTTTTATTTTCACTCTAGTTTACTGATTCTTAACCATTCATTTATAATGCAGTGTCTCGAATAGCCCATGTTTCCCAGCTTCTCACGATAAAACTATGTGACGAAAAGTGGTCACATGAACTGTTATAAATTCATTAAAGATTCAATAATGAGAGAAAATCAAGCTTTATGTCATATGACTACTAAGTTGTATGTTATCTAGCTAATGACATTATTTATTGAACGCCCCTCGTATTCTTATCATACAAGCAACACAAAATGATATGTTTTTTAATTTTAAGATAAAGATAATTGAATGCATTGACTTACAATTGCATCAAGGAAGGAAAACATCAACGCTGATGTCATTGAATATGATGCATTTTTCAATTTGAAATTATATTGTAAATTTTTTTAAGCAGTGAGAGACGGGTAAGGTTTTGTTATGTATATATATTTGTTAAGTTATCAAGTTTAAATGCAAAAAATAATTGTTTTGTTTATTTTTATTTCATTCATGCATGTATGCCTTTGTATTAACCTCCCTTGTATAATAACACTCCTGTTTGTTTGTGTGTATAACAATACAGGGAAAGGTAGAAAATTTGATGTTATGCGTGATTTAGAATATTGCTAACACAAATTGAAATCAGGTTATTGTATACCTTAAAATAAACTCACTTTCATGTATCACCAGATGAGTGCGAAGTATTTTTGATCAATTACTTTATGAACAATTTAAAAATAAATTAAATTGCCTATATGAAACACCTCCTCATGTGGCCAAACTAAAAACAGAAAATTTTAAAACAGTGACCAGTACAACGATTTATACCTCGCTATTCATCCGTAATAGAAATTAACTGAAAAGTGATATTATTTCATATAAACGTATTTTTACCTAATATACATGTTCTATGCTTTATTAAATGCTTTTTAAATTACACTTAAAGTTTAAAGCATATACTCGTAAAGATTAAACATATTTATAGATTTAAATAAAATGGTGTAATCCAAATGTGTTTTATTATTTTGTCATCAAATTTCAAAAGATGAAAAGTTTCATTTGTACGGATGTATTCATTTTTGAAGAAGCTGAACATTTCCGATATTCATTGATGTACTCAAGAAGGATATGGAATAAGGAATGGTATTCAATTTCAAAGTCCATAAAAATACAAAAAAGGAGCAAAGCAGACACGGACCTCCGAAACATCAGAGGTACATTGTAGGATCAGGTACTATTTAGGATTGAGCATCCCCTGCCGACCGGTCACAATCGCCGTGAGCTCCTTACCATGATAAGAAATAATGTAATCATCCGTCGTCAATTAAGTGTATTAATAATGGATAAACAATAAGTATGAATAAAATATGTCAGCATTTGAATTAATGGTAAATTGTATTTTCATACAAGGTCATTGTATCGACCAAAGAACTTACGAAACGATGACTTTAAACGAGACTGCTGAAATTCTTGTTTCATCAACTTGCTTGTCAATACTTTACCTCGTTTAAGAAATGTTCATACGTAGAGCATGCTCTTGTGTATCGACTTCATTGAGTTATGTACATTTCACGTGAAGGTGATGAAGTATATTGCTTTAGAAATATGGGAAATTGAAGACAAAAAATTAAAATCATCACGTTTATCATATAGATTAATTGTAAGATTACAATTAACGTCTTTTCCATGGAAGATATTCAAGTAAAAAGAATGTGTCAGACTCTGTGGTATTTTTTATCCCCAATTCTCCAGGATACATCGTTTGGATGTAGGAATGGAAATAACCATTGTTTATTGACACTACGCCGTCGATATAACTAAATGTCGGGTTGAAAGCCCCAAGAAGTGTTGTTTTCTTTTTTATGCATTGACTTTGCAGGAATTCTGCTTCATCTAAATACAAAAATAAGTCTGTCAATAATGGAGCGCAATTGGTACCCGCTGGAATTTCAATAGATAGTTGGAAGATCTAGTCTCCGAAAGTACATAAATACTGTGAATCAGAAACTCAAGCATTTTTTGATGTCAACATAAAAGACTGTTTTTGTGCAATCCGAATGTGTTTTAAGAAAAATATTCTGCAAATAACCAATGACCAGGTAAGTAAATTTACTAGGTCGATTTCTATTAAAAAAGCAGCTGTAAATGATATCAAAATCCTGGACTTTGATTTGTCGTAGGGAATGGTTGTGTATAAAGTTGAAAAGACGTAATTGTGATAACAATTAAGTTGTCCAATTGTTTTTTGGAATTTTTTAGCATCCACATCTTATTCAAACCACTTCTTGAATATATTCTCGCACATTGTTCTTGAAAATTTTCCTTCACTACTGTCAATACTGTCACTACTTCCAAGAAGGCTATTCAAATGGTTCAAAGAGACAGAGTAGAGTTTGGTGCGAATATGACAAATTACATAAGGTTGTAATAAATCAAAAGAGACATCGTGTATTGCAGGTTTATTGTGAGATCGATGCCCATGACTACGCTTACGCTTCTGTGTATGGTTAAAGAGTCCCATGACATTTACATTACTAGTCTATAGTCTACACTCAACTTATTAATTCTATGCACTCTTTCGAATGTTATTTCATAATCTATTCTGATTGTCCTCTAATGAAATTCCCTATTTCTTTCCACGCGTGCTTTGGGATTTTGGAGAAAAATTAGGGTATCTCTTTTTTCATCTTGAGTGGAGATCAATCACCGAGCTTTGTAGTTCCTCGTTGGCTCCGTCGAATGATTCCAGTTTATCTTTTACTTTATTATCTGTAACTTTCTGCACCTGTTTTCACTGGTCTAGGTACTTTCTGTTGTTATTTATCACAAAATGTATTTTATTTGCTTCGGTTGACTCCTAAAAGTTACACACGTTTTCTTATCTGTTCTCTAAGGATTCTTAGCTCTTAAAATCAGTCGTCTTGATGTTTTATGTAACAGGAAATAATCATTTGAGCCTTTCAAAATCATTGCGAAAATTGAAATCCTTTATTAAAAAAACAATCTGAATCGGCATTAAAAAATGACACATTTATTTCCTGTATAGACATTTCGACCAAATACCGGATTATTGCACAACGACTGTTTGAGCTCTAAAAGAAAGAAAGAAAAAAATGTACATTATAGAGAGTTAAAATAAAAAAAAAATTAAAAGAAGGCTATGTTTCCTTCTACAAAAAAAATTACATATATTTTGCGATATTAAGAACAAGGATAAAAAAACCCAGACAATTTATTGTAAATGGAACATTATTGTAATTTAAATTGTCATAATATACAGAGGATTCAGGTCAATATTTTTTTTCTTTTCTTTTTTATTTAATTTTGATCTATTGGAAAACAAGATGTGTGTTGTGAAACAATAATGGTAGATTACGGCGAAGGTTAAAGTTTTTCATATGCAAGTCAAAATCCAAGGTCAAAAAGGTCAATGATGTTGATAACCAGAAAAAGGTCCTATCACAAAGAAAACATGTGTGATTTATAAAAGCTTTAAGAATAGTAATGGGCAAAGTTAACTTCTTTGCAAAAAAAAAACAGACAGACGGACACTCATAAAGACAGACAGAAGGACGAACAGGGCAAAATCTTTGTACCTCCGATTCTTCTATTACGAAGCCATAAAAAGAAAAGAGTTTTAAGTGTCAAACGAACTTTAGAAGCCAATCTAATTTTGAAATTATAAGCGCTCAGAATAAAAGTGAGATAATTGAATGATTGTATGTTGTTTAACGTCTCGTTCAAGAATTTTTCACTCATGTAGAGACACCACCACTTGCCAGTTGAAAGCTGCGAATTCTGTCCTATACTCGGCACTTAAGGGCAATTAATTGAGTAGGGAGGGATCTTTTTCGTGCCATTACCTACTGCGAAACTCGACCTCGGTTTATACATGTGCAGTATCATCTGATGGCCCGATCTCCTAGTCTTACAGTGAGATTCGAACCCGCGGCGTGAGAATCAACACTTTACTTGGTAGCTCTAGAGCAGACACTCTAACCACTGCGCCACGCAGGTGACAAAAGTGCAGTGAAATTTTACCAAAAGGGGGCGATAAAAGAATATTTTCGTAGAATTGGATAAATCATATCTCGCTCGAAATAGTTTTTACGTATACATTTAGGGAAAAGAACGCTTAATTTTTAAAAAAACAATTCCTTTCATGGTGATGAGAAATATACTAAAACGTGAAAAAGTCCGTCACCCTATAATCATTACTAAATAAATAAGAAAGAAATTCCGTCGACCAACGTACTTTTTAGCGTTCAAACATCATTATTCTTGCGCGATAAAGTCGCTCATGTAACGTAGTAGTGAGAGCGTCTGCTCTAGAGTCAAGGAGTAAGGTGTTGATCTTTACGAATCCGACTGTGGAACCTGGAGACTTGTCTTTCAGTTAAAACTGTATAAATTGAGGTCCCAGTAGGTTCGGGCACGAAACAGCTCAATGGACCTAAGAGCTGATCACAGATCAAAATAGGCAATTCACAAAATTTAACTTGCGTCTCCGTATGAGTGAACATTTTCGAAAGAATCTTTAAACAATAATCAAAAAAACGAAAGAAGAATGATTTCATTATAATGAAATACTTCCACAATATAAATACAACCCCTTCATCCCAAGTTAAAAAAATACATACAAATTATAATTTAACTTTGGTCTTTTTGTCAAATAAAAATATATCGTTTGAAGAATCTTAGATTCCTTGACTTACAAAACAATCGTTAAATGTGTTATATACGTACTGTTTCTCACAAATGAAATACGTTGTCCGGTCGTTACAGTTGTAGTCCTCCCATTTAAACTGGTCCCCCTGGTAAAACATGCGCACGCAGTTGTTTGTGATATTCCTGGTGGGTTTTCCAGCGCCCCACGCTGAAAAGTTCCCTATAGGGAATCCAGTCTCCAGCCAACGGAATGACCCCTCTATAGTGTAGTCGCTAGCACCTATCCAAAAGGTGCTCTGTTTTAAGGCTGTCAAAATAAAGACAGAAAATATTTTTTTAAGCATTATGCAAATATAAATACAAAGAAAATATATCCAATTCATCATGTATTTTTATATTCCTTTTTATTTCTTTTAAGGGGGTGGGGGGGGGGGGGTACTTAGATTTCCTTGTGAAATTCATTTTTTGACCACTGATATTTGTTTCACATTTTACGTTATAGAATTTTTCAAAAGTGAAATTAGCAAAAATGTGTTCTGTTATTGCATAATGAAATATATGACAAGGTACGTAATATAGAGTAATATTTATATCATATTGATATTGATTGATTTGTGAGATCAGTCGTTTCGTATCGAGGTCTATATGACTACTCACAATGGAGAACACTGGTGATTTTGGAGAGAAAGTTGTGCTTTTCTGGGTTATCATCCGTCACCAAATATGCTTGTAATCCCCGACACTGATTCTGAAAATATTTCCGCTATACATTGTAAGTTAATAACTTCATGCAGATTTAAGGGCACTGTCGCTTTATTGTCGATTTAGAGTAGAAGAGAAGTACCTTTTTGCCAACACGTATCATGTTGGTCATACAGCTTTCTTTTTACATGTTGCATATTTGATAGCATAGTAAATCGGACATGCCGTGAACTGAGATTTACAACAAACTTAAATATGGAGGATACACGTAACTGTTTTATTCGTATCTTAAATATTATTTTCTGCATATAACGTATAAATTAGAGCAAATGTAGTTAAAGCTTATTTTTATACTAATATATGATTATACAATATATGTCATCCTGTGCATCATCCCTTGAAAATTTGGAACTACAACTGCATTACATTTTGAACACATCCAAATTACTTCAAAAAGATAATTCATTAATTTGATTCCGAGCATTGTTAAAAATCTTAAATCTGAAAATCGAATTAAACCAAAAAGTAAAAATAAAAAAATTCAATGCCATTGATCACATGAACCTAAATATTTGAAACATTTTTCATATTATTCTGTTTAAACTGATATGCAATGAAACATAATAAGATAATGAACAGTATTCATGATAAAGAGTCAATACAACAAAACAAAATGATAGCAGAGCAAACACGGACCTCCAAAACATCAGAGGTGGGATCAGGTGCCATGGAGGAGTGAGTCTCCCTTGCTGACCGGTCACATCCGCCATGTGCTACTTGTCATAATTGAGAAATAACGGAAAAGTCTGTCGTCAATTCAGAGTATAAATAATAGACTAACAATTAGTATGGAAAAACCGTCAGTCAGCATTTGACGGAATGAAAAATTATATTTGCTGGCAAGGTTATTGCATTGTACTTACAAAATGATACCTTTAACAGGGAATGTAAATATTCGTGTTTCATCCACTTTTTGTCAATAATTTACCTAGTTTTTGAGATTATTTCAGCAATGTTGGATTGATCGATTTTCTATTAAGCCTCTGATAACTAATCTTGCAATTTTAAACCATTTCGTTTTAAAAAGTGTATTTCATTTGGCCCTGATATCATAAACAAGGAATAGATTGACGTCATAATAATAATGATTTTTAATAGTATATATTGCGATTTCTTAAGATATTTACGCAATGAAAATTACTAGCAATGCCGTTTATTTAAAGCACATCATGAAAACTTTGTATCATCATTGAAATTATCCTAAAACTTTGTATATTGGTTTTAGAGGTTGACCGACGTTTGTCTTTTATGAGATTATGTTATACACGCCAGGTTTTGTCCCTTTTTTGGGGCCCCGTGGGGATCCGGGTTAGAATAGGTCCTCAATACCCCCTTGCTTGTCGTAAAAGACGACTAAATGGGGCGGTCCACCGTGTAAACCGAAGCCCCGTGTCACAGCAGGTGTGGCACGATAAAGAACCCTCCCTGCTCAAAGGCCCTGAGTGCCGAGCATAGGCCTAAATTTGCAGCCCTTCACCGGCAATGGTGACGTCTCCATATCAGTGAAATATTCTGGAGAGGGACGTTAAACAGTATATAATCATTAATCAATCCTTTTTTTTGGAGGTTTTTTCCTACTTATATAGTATAATACATAATTTTGTAAAGAAATTTATTTGAATATACTTAAGAATTTTACGTTCAAATTTTTAAAAAAATATAATTGAAAATTTGTTCATAGTTTAGCAATAAGATAAGCCTTAAGTTGGAATTACATTTGGGCTGCATGCAGATATGTCGATATATCTCTTAATCATAAGCTTAAATATACGTATAATATAATGTTTTTATCTTCTTCTTTTTTTTAAATCTAATATAAATCAACTTTTCTTATGAATGTAGATTATAAAACATAACTTCTGAAGAGGTCAATAATACTAATTTTCTTAATATTACACATTTCACATGTGTAAAACATGTTAATTATACAGGCAATTCTGACCTCTGCATCAACCCACGATCTCCTGTCATGACCGAAGTAAAAGCACTCCCCTTTAAATTCTGCCCAGTCTATAGGACATACTGATATCACCGCAGAGAACCCTGTAATAAAAAATGGATAAAATTCTTGTAATTATAAAAAAGATAGAAAAGAAATTAATTTTATTATAAAAGATGAAAGACAGCCACAACTTTGCAATGTAAACATAGTGAGAACAATTTTCATTGAGCAATAACAAATCAGTTTGAAGAATTGCCTCCAAATGAAAAGAGCGTATAGAAATAAATTGATAAAGAGAAGATATGTTTGAAAATCAAAATGTCATCACATTGATGGACATTCTCAATTCGTTTTAAATGACATTTGTGTTTATAATGAAAACAAAGTGCATTTTTGTAATAGTTCTTGCGTTCATTTACAACATTAGTGTAGCAATGAAACGCTTATATAAAATTCAGGTTACAGTAACTCCTAAAAACAAAAACAGAGATTGCAAAACCCTACATACGATTTGACAAAACATATGTTTAAAAATGTATCTATTAATTAAAGTCTTTTTTGCATAAACTAAACTGAATCGATTTAGGAATAGAATTTTTCAAACCTGAAAGGGCGACGACTGCAAGGCATAAAATGATCATATTGAAAGATGAGTTATCAGAGAATTAACTACATAGATAAGACAAATAGATTACAAAAGGGGACTAATATCGGCCTACTTTTAGCTTTGCCTAGTCCAGTTCTTCACATTTCGTCCTAAAAGGGAAAAACTGGTATCAAGACAAATGCCACTTGTTTTATGTTCAGATCAATAGTGGCTTAACATCACCCTTTTGTACATTCCGACGACAACATGTATATGAAAGATGTGGATAAGGGGGATTATATATCCTCTATTATGTGTTAATTAAGAAATCTTAAAATAATGCCATGCTATTTTGTAAGTTATACTTGTAGAAAATAAATGCTACAGGGACATAGAAAAATATTAAGTCTTTCAAAGAATCAAAGAATTAAATGTTTGTTCAAACAAATTACAATAATTATGTCAAATTGGCTTAAGAAAAAAAATTCTGAAAGTTTAGTTTTTTTTTTTGTTTAGATGATTTTTACATTTATGTTGGCGCACTTATTAATCGCACAGAGGAATTAGGTATTTGTTCAGACATAATATAAATTCTCTTTGTAACACATATAGCGACTTATATTATTTTTTACAATTTTACAATGTACTACAGTTAAAGTATATCATTGAGGAAGTCAGCAAGATTCCAGTTACCCAAGAGCAAGTTTATTTCCTGGACGAAGAACATAACGTCGTTTTCTATAAGAGAATGGGAGACAGAACTTCCGAAAGGACCGGAATACTAGTATATCAGTATTAATGAAGTTACACTCTAATTAACTGATTGCTATGATCAACTATGTGATTCTCCTATTACAGAAGTTAAATCAATGGTTTTTAACCATCTTAGCTTTGAAACAAACAATGACAGTTTTAAGCTGCGAGACGAACCATGGGAGCTTTTAAAATCTAAGCTCTGAGACTTGAGTTATGCAATGATTGAGTGATCTTTTATCATTTGGTCGTACGAAGTAGTTATTTCTTTCAAATGAAATAGCTTTGGACAATTTCAAACGTTGTTGGGAAAAATTTGATATCTGTTTCGACAAATTAGTAAAATTGACAACTCCTGTTTTAGAAATTTTGAAAGACAGTGTATTGTGTACGAAGAAAAATGTTTGTATATATTTCATAACATCTTTGTTGAAGGAGTTAATAATATGCAAATAAGACAACCAGGATTAAATTAGTCCGCTTAATCAAATGGCTACTGTGTTCAGACATTTCCTCAAATGACTCAGCATATTTAGAAATACAGTGGCTGCAACCTCATTGTTGACAACTTACACGAACAATTCAGCACGATTAACGCACGATTAAACCTCTTACACGAACGATCCTTCACGCACACGATTCTACACGTTACGCGATCTTACACGATTGCTAACGCAAAAGCACGATTCTTCATTCAAAATAGTTCAAAATATTTAGGAATGGATATTTTCAAAACGAAATATGGCTTAATACTAATTTAAGATTTTAAAGAATTCTCAATATTATTTCATAGACTTTGAAAAAACCCGGAAATGAATATTTCTGTAAATTAATACACGTAAGAACTAATATTTAAGATTATAAATAATTCTTTAGGTAATTCGATCTCTGACTTAAGAAAACGAATTTCTTTCGTTCTTTCAGAAGATGCACATGTATGTGGGCAGTATAATTTGATTGAATTGGATTTCATGATATGCAGAAAGGGGGGAACGATTGAAAAGAAATGGCAGCAGAGAATGACCCAAATTTAACTACGAATTATATCTGTATGTTTCCATTGATTCAATGTTTGTGAATCTCTAAAAATAAACTTGCCAATTGCAATTATTAACCTTTATTTATTTGCAGAAATTTAAAAATTAATTTAAAAGTAAGCCCCCGAAATAAACACTGATAATCAGAAACTCCGAAAATCATGTCGTGTGCATGTATATTCCTTTCTAAATATCTATTTAAGAAATAAGATATCATTTTTAGAGTTGCATTGGGGTATGACATGAAGTCGGTCACGTGATCAAATTCTATAACGCCCGAAGGGCGTTATAGTAGATTTGATCACGTACCGACTTCATGTCATACCCCAATGAAACTCTAAAAATGATATTTTATTTCTTATATTTATATTTTACGTTTTCATTCATTTTACAAACAAATATAGGCATTATTTAGACTTAGATTTTGAAATGCAACGTAACGTTGCTATGACGTTATGTGACGTCACAGTCGGAACTTTCCAAATTGCACGTGCAGTTTGTTTTCCATACGCAAGAAAGTCTGATAATGTGACCGATTGCATGTCATCGAAAATTGAATTTCATTTTTTTTAGTATTGTCATATAAGGAAAGACATTGGCAAATGTAAATATGTAAGCATTAAGAAAATTTATATTTATGTACTTTAAAAAAAATATTAATTTTTGGTGTATTGATTTTAAAAAATATATTTACCATAAGAAGCAGTAAACAAGAATAAAAAGCAGATTTAAAAAAAAACGTTAAAGTACGGTTTATCACAATATTGATCGCGCTATTTGACGAGAAATTAATATTTTACGACTTAATATATTGCTTTTTTACTAGCAATAATTAGTTCTTTATGCATTCAATTATGTACAATGAGTTTCATTCATTTTATTTTATTTTTTTTAAATAAATAAATAAAAAAAACAATAGAAATGCTTATTTTACAAATAACATTCCGATAAAAATTTACAAAACGAAATTCACACGATTCTAAACGCACGATATCGCACGATTAAAACCGCAAGCAATTGAGTCTGATACACACGAAACGATCTCGCACGTTACACGAACGATCACGCACGGTACACGTACGATTCTACACGATAGGTTTGTCAACAATACCGTTGCAGCCACTGTAGTATATTGTATAAACAGGGCCATTATTAGCCTCAGTGTTCATTTGATGAGAAGTCGTTATGGAGAAAGGACTAAGGTATTTGTCTTTATCAATTTTGGATGTCTCGTAAAAACTGATGACGAACTACCTTAATGTCATATATTCATACGATTTATGAAAATGACAATAATTTCAAACGGATACTTGAAACTCATTGCTTAAAAAATGTGGGCCTGGTAGCTAATTAGTTTCAGGACATTACTCCTTCAATACACCAATGCCTCTTTGGTTTGCAGTTTCTCAAATTAACCCGATAACTGAACTATGCAACACTGTTATGATTTATGATTAAAGTTAACTATTATCCGATGCGAAAACAAAGACATTTCAAAAACATATGATATGTTTTGAGAAAGGTATTCAATTTTTATTGAGAAAAAGACGTGAAAAGACTTTCGAAAATAAGATTAAAAAAAGAATTAAACCATGAAAAGTGTTGAGTCACGTTTTGTCCGCCGTCACGTTATGTCCGCCGTCACGAAATGTCCGCCTCTTTTTCAGAAAAATCGTCACGTTATGTCCGCCGTCACGAAATGTCCGCCTCTTTTTCAGAAAAATCGTCACACTATGTCCGCCGTCACGAAATGTCCGCCTCTTTTTCAAGAAAATCGTCACACTATGTCCGCCGCTACAAAATGTCCGCCTTTCTTCCAAACAAATCGTAATATTATGTCCCCCGCTACAAAATACCTTCTAAAACAAAACGCAATATTGTCCGCCGACAAGAAAAGTCGCCTTTCTTCCGAAATGAAAAAATCGTCAGATTATGTCCGCCGCAAAGAAAAGTCCGTCTTTTCTCGGTAAACTCGTCACTGATCACACAGTGTCCGCCGTTAAATGTCCTTCAATATTTCGGATTGTAAATATCGTCTCGTAATGTCCGCCTTCACGAAATTAAAGTACGCCCTTTCTTTTACAAAACTGAGACTTTTTAACTATATATATAAATATATAAATGTGTACATATAACTTTTTAATAAACTTTAAATCAAATTTATTTTAATCTTTTTAAATTTGGACAAACCAATACAGAATATGTCCCTTTCTAACTTTTAAAAATGATCACGTGTTTACTTCATCCAATGGGGAACGCGTTGCGGGGTCTCACCTGGCCGCAGGTAGGTATCTGTTTTTACTTTGACCCCTGCTGCGCCACGTGACAGGTTGATAAGAAAAATGAAGACTATCGGGTAAGTATAATTATGTTGTAAAATAATTAAAACAGACTGATGATGTATTTATATTAATTTTGTATTATCATGATTATAATCCTCTCATTGTTTATAAGATAAAGTCCTTCCAGATATATTTTCAAGCAGAATGTTCTCAAATCCAGCAATGTTATCTATTTATCATTCTTCATGTTTATTTTAACTAATTATCATTTCTTGAAGTACTTTTTTTTTCAATTTTAACCAATGTGTATTGATTTGTTAGGGATAATGTACATATACTACATAATATTATCATTTAAATATAAAAATAAAATGCAAATTGGTTAAAATTGAATTTTTTTTCGAAGCGAAATATTTCAGTTTCTAATTTTATAAATAACTTAGTTAATTAAGTTAATTTTTCTCATAAAATTAAATGCATCTGTCGGTTTATACAATACACGCAAAATCTTGTTTTTAGCATCTTTATAGTTAGGGGGTGTTTTTTTTTTTAAATATTGTTTTCATGATGGTTCAAAATTGTAACTATTTGCTTCAAGAATGAAAGAATAGAATAAGCAGTTCGGACATGTTTAATTGTTTATGAATAGAATCAGTAATCTATTTTTTTTTTTTAAAATACATGGAGAGAGAACCTCTCAAAATTCCTGAAACTCAGGAATTGAATGCAATCTCATTGTATTGAAGTTAAAATTTTTCCCATGCTATAAAACAAAAGGTGTGAATCCCAGGTGTCTGTTGAAAAGGGCTTCATTGTTTTAGAATCACAGGTGTCATTAAATGTATAGTACACATCCTGTCTCTACCTGAAAGGGGGTATCTCGGTTGCGTTTGATGTAATTTTGACATGCCCCGCAATCAGTGCAATGTCTTCCATCGGTGCCTCCTACCTATTCCCACTTTTTAAAAATCTCAATTCCACCTATTCCTGTTTTTA